CTGATATTAAAATAGTATTAATCTATAGTAAATTTAATATATAAATTGTAACTTATTCATATGAATTTATAGTAAATTTAAGTATCAAATTGATATTAAACTGATATTAAAGTAATATTGTTAGAAGCTTTAGTTGTAAAGATAATAAAAAATTTTTTGAAAATTTTAATATTATCTATATTAAATCTTATAAGTATTAATTATATTTGTAATAAATTATTTAAAAAAAGACAAGTTGAAAGTTATTATTAAATTGAAGATATAAATTTTTGATATTTTTATATTTTTAAAAATAATAACTGCCAATAATTTTTGACCTATAAAGTGTTAACCACTACACTATAGACCTACAGGTTGAAAAATATATTTTATTATCTTTTATTATTTATATTAAAAACAGGTTTTATTTTTATATAGATTTAATTTTTTAGAAATTTCTTGTTTAATAATTTATATCTGAATATTTTAATATTGTAATATTGTTAATTAATATAAAAACTTGTAATTTTTAATAATATTATATTAATTTATATTCTTTTTTAATTTCTATTTTTGAATCAGACTTTATATTTTTATTATATATATTATTAATCTATTTGTTATTTTACTATTTTTTTATAAATCTATTGATTTTTATATTGTTAAAGGTAAAAATAGTAATACAAAAAGATAAATAAATAAGAAAAAGATAATTATATCTATTTGATATAATAAGTATAATAAGTATATCAAGTATATTAGGTATATCAGGTATATTAGATATATCAGGTATATCAAGTATATCGAGTATATCAAGTATATCAAGTATATTCAGTATATTTGGTATATCAAGTATATAGCAAAGAAGTATAAAAGTAACAAGTAAAGCAATTGAGAAAAGGGTTGGTGATTCGATAGGACTATAATAAATTAACAGATCAACAATATATACTCAACCAAAAACATACACACCTACTTTGTAGAAAGACGATTCGACGAACATTACATAGAGTAGGTCAGATTGAAGCGACAGACTCGTCATGTCACACTACAACAATATCTAGATTATTATTATTATTATTATTTAAGTAGGTAAACATTGTCGCTTTATTATAATTGTAAAATTGAAAAATTTATATATTAAGAAAGTAACAACATCTCTCACGTAACCAATTGGTCAATGAGTTTAATACTAGCTTGCCTATGGTAAACAATCTAAGTTAATGAGAAAAATAAATATTAAAACCAATATATTATTAAAAATAGTACCAAGCAGCTATAAATACTTACTTAAATTTATGTATAAAAAAACTATAAGAAGTGAAAAGAAAATAAAATACTAAACAAAAAATAGATACAAAAAAACTAATTGTAAAGCTAAGAATACTCCAAATAAGCATGCCATGCTGGTAGTTCCATTTAACTGAGGTACAGTGTATGTATATTTATTACAAATGGCCAGACTATTGTCCAAAGTATATAGTAGTGTTGATAATATATTTCTTTGATAGTTGATTTGTTATAATGGTTGTGTTGTTGTTTTGTTGATATGACTAAATATTGGTTTGTTTGTTAATACTATAGTATAATTGGTTTGTTTGTTGGTAATGTGATTTTGTTTTGATTTTTATTGCCAAAAAAGATTTTGTTTATATTGATTAGTAGGTGGTATTTTGATAGTACAGATTTGTTTAAGTAAATATACACTCCTACAATAAATTACCAGGATTTTCATGTGAGTCGATGAACGATTGTTTTTTTTTTTTAATTTTATTTAACTTTATTTAACTTTCATTAATTTATGTACAGTTAACAAAAAAATAAAATAAACTATAATGATCATAATTTATTTTCGTGCAATTCAAAACATGATGTATTAATATTTCGTATTTTTACTCTTAGCCTTAATAATTGCTTTGACATATTGAAGCAAGCTTAAAATTATATGCCATACTATTTCAATGCTTATTTTTTTTCATTTTTCTTGTATAATATAAATAAATTCTTGTCTAAATATGAGTAAAAGTTTTCTTTTTCGAATCTGATGATCCAAATAATCCTATAAATTCTCAATTAGATTGTGGTCAGAACTTTGAGCAACCCAATCCAAGACTTGAATCGCATATGATTTGAGCTATCAAGCCATATATTGAGTAGTATGACAACTGGCACTGTCTTGTTAAAATATGGCATCTAGACTATTACAAATCCAAGATATAAAGTTGGTGGCTAAAATGTTTATGTAAGCCTCCAAATTTATTGTTTGATTTATGAGTACTAAGGGACCAACACCATTTCACAAGAAACAATTCCAACACATAATTGATCCTTTGTCAAATTTTCAATAGGCTTAATGCAGTCTATATTGTATTCTTTCCCAACCCTGTGTCAAACTCGTACTCATCCATTAGACTCGAATAAGGTGAATCATGATTTGTTAAATTACACAATTTATTTTCATTTTTTGTCCTAGTCATATTTGATTCTGCACCAATTAAGTCGAGTTAAATATTGTTTATTTGATAAAAGAAACTTTTTTCATGCTATGCAACTCATTAGTTACATTTTGTGTAAGTAGTTTTGAATAGTATTTGCATGAAATGTTGAGGTGAGGTAAGTGTTTATGTTATTTGAAATATTGTTTAGGGGCACAAAATGATCTTTTTGAACATAATGTCACACTATCTACTGATTACGATCAGAAAAAAATTTTGGTCATCCAGAACATATATTAGGATGAGAGGAATCATTTTTTTTATAATAATTTATTATATCATAAATGGTTGAGAAAGGTATATCAAGTTGAGAGGAAATAATTTTACCTTTAGTACCTAAAAGATATGCGCTGATTATTTGTTCACATTGTTGAGAACTTAGTTTGAAATCCTGTATTTTTAGTACAACAGAAAACTATAAAATGAAGAGAGTAACAAAAAAAAATTTTTTTGATATACAACAAAAATTAAGAAGAAAAAATGATTTAAAAAAATTTTTTTTATCACGATCAACTAATTATGATAATTCATCCCGGTAATTTACTGTAGGGGTGTATAGTAATATTTGATTGGTTGGTTTTGAAATGTTGATCAATTAACAGGAGTAAACTAATTGTAGTTTTTTTGTGAAAATTTTTTGAAAAAAAGTTTTGTAATTTTTATAATGTAACAAATTATGCTGAGCAATAGTAAGAAATAAACAATAAATATATTACTGGTCCTTCAAGTTAACAATATAAATATTTTTAATGTGTAGTTTGATTTTTTGATTTGCAAAGAAGATCTTCAAGAAAAGAATATAATTATTTAATAAGAAATATGTATCTGTAAAAAATTAAAATAGGAAGAACTTCAAGAAAGATTTATAAAGAAGTAACTGCCACAAGCCTTTCCTTATGCAATCCAAAGAAAAAGCAAGGTTTCCAAACTTGCTTTTCTTTAATTAGAGGTCCTATCCCAATGTATCAGTATACTTCTTTAGTTTCTTTAAGGTTCTTGTAGTAAAGGTAAAGGATGTATAAAGGACTTTGGGAAGTTGAAAGATGAGAAAAATATTTGTTTCTTTAATTTTAAAAAATAATTACTAAAAAAAAATTTTTTTAAAAAAAAAGTTGTATATGGAAAAGTGTTTTTTTTTTTTTCAATTATATTTAGATTTTTATTATTTTACTAAAAAATATATATTATATAGTATGTTGCAAAACTTTTTAAAATTTTTTATTTAACTGTTATTTAAAAACTATTATATAAATATTAATAAAAAATATATTAAAAAATTTTTGTATTATTTTTAATTTGTAAATTCAAATAAAATCAATCTAAAAATTAATTAATAATAACAACAATATCATATCTTTTTTATAAAAAAATTTTTCAAAAAAGTTTTGCAACACATTATATTTTTTAATATAATACTTACTTAAATTTTTTTAAAAAAAAAATTAATATCAATAGTTAATATTTTTTATATTTGTTTTATAAAAATACAAATTTTTAATATTAATAAAATTTATAAAAAATTTTAATTATAAACAAAAGTTTTGTTTTAAATTTTTTTATTTATTTAATTAAATCAAATTTTTGTTTTTGTTTATTATATACAAAATTATATTTTAAAAGTAGATATGCTAAATTCTTGTTATATATTGAAAACAAACTTGTGAAAAATAACTATAGCATCTTATGTATCAAGATATTTATTACTTTAAAATAAGTTTACCTTATTTATGATTATACAATATATCTTTTTTCATGTTATATTTAAATAACTTAAATTAAAATATAAAATTTATTTGAGACTAATATTAATTTATTGTAAACTTTGTATTTGAGAAATGCATATTATTTCAAAAAACATTAATAAAAAACTGTAATATATGTTTTTATTTTCAAAAAATAAAAATTGTTAAATTGAGATATTTTCTCTTATTATTTTTTCTGATTCTAGTTCATGAATATTTTTTGATATTGAGTATTGTTGAATCTTTTTGACATCAAATAAGATAGAATTATTATTATCTATAGTGATGAATTTTCAATGTAAATGGTCACATTTTTATCTATTAATAAATATATATAAAGATCCATGCTTCTACGTTCATTCATTCCTACATTCGAGGAACTATAATTCTAAAAAAAAATAAATTGTTAAATTGTTTGCTAAAAATTGTTATAATAATTTGATTGGTTTCTAGACCTGATTGTGGAATTCTATAATTCTATCACATATAAGGAATTTACAAATTGAGATGCTTAAAAAACGCCAAATCAAGGAGTTATTTTGTCAGTCTTATCAGGCTAGATTAACCATGACGTATTTAAACCACGGAAGCCACTCTGTTCAGTAGTGTGTTTTTCAGCTCGAACAATGCATAGACTGTTACATGAATTGTAATTTTCTCACGATTCCTGTTTAACGATATGCACGGTACGCTACACCATCGGTGTTGGACGTGCTTATATTAAGCATTGTCGTGCGCGAAAACGGTTTCCTTTCTTTCTTTTCGAACAAAAATAGGAATAAAAATGACATCAATGTACACCGTAGGTATTTCTTGTAACATAATTCGGGTAATATTAGAGATGAAGACTAATAAAGTATGACCTGTTTTCAATCTTTCAATCAGATAAATTATGCGTTAAGGGCGCACAAACGGGATCCGTTTATCGAATTCATCAAAGTAAGTTGGTTATTCTCGAAAACCCGAAAGTTCCAATAAAATAATAGAGGCCATGCCCACGCATTATATAAATACAGGGAATGCTTATGACGCCATTCGTATTACACGCAAAGCCAATACCACCAAAGGATGACCCAAGTGAGAAAGAGCATAATGGTGATGATAAGTCACAAATGGATGAAAACGTTGCAAGATATTGCGACATATTATCAAGCATCGAGGAGTTGATTGAAGTAAGTTTTTTTTTTGTAATTCTGATTCATGAAACAAAAATATTCAGCTTAGTTAATCTCTTCCAGGAACATATTAGAAAACAGAACAAGGGTACGAATTTTTTTAATTTCATAATTACGTTGGTTAATCACCAATCATATTAATGTTGATTAAAGGTGTTCCCGATCAATCACGACTCAAACGGCTTGTTCCTTCAATTTCAACTTTTCACACAAGATTGCCGTTACGCGAATCATTTTTGTTAGCCAATTCCAAACATTCAATTGCAGCACGTCGATTCGTGCCGCCGAGTTTCAATGACATCAGACGGTATAATCTTATCCAAACAAAACATTATATTAATAGTATTTTTTAATTATTCACTCTCATTTTCATTACCTCCACAGAATACTAACCACAGCACAGGTATGAATACACGATTTGGAATTTTCTTCGATGACAGATTTTTTTTTAATGATTTCGATTTTTTCAGATCATTGCAATTGCTCCTAAACTCAAGTTAATAACATTGTAAGCTTCATGTATATTATATGTTATCTTAAGGTTTTCAATTCAAAGCTGATATAATTATTGTTAGCGATGGTGATATGACACTATACGATGACGGAGAAGATTTTGAGCAAGATTCGAAATCTGTCAATCTTCTTGTGCAATTATTGAAATATGATCTCAACGTTTGTGTGGTGACTGCTGCCGGTTATCCAGGCGACGCAAAGCGATATGAAGAACGATTGTCAGGTTTGCTAAAAGGATTTCAAACCGCACAGTTGTCTAAAAAATTTTGTGAACGATTTTTCGTGTTAGGTTGTTTGATCAATCATCTTTTTAATATAATAAGACCCTATCAAAGGATTGGCTGACAAACATTCTATTAATAGGAGGAGAATGCAATTATTTATTTCAATGTCAGGAAAATTACCATTTGAAGTACATACCGGAATCGTACGTTTTTTTGTTCAAACTTCGATCTAACATTGTTATTTTTATGTTCTAACGAATCTATCATTTTTTAGTGAGTATCAGCCGGAGGAAATTCTCTCGTGGCGTGATGATCAGATCAAAGCAATATTAGATGTAGCGCAGGAAAACCTGCAGCGTTGTGTTGATGACATGAAATTACCATGTACGGTTTTGCGCAAAAGTAGAGCGATTGGTATTGTTCCAAAGCCAGGAGTTAAAATTTTTCGAGAACAGTTGGTAAGTAGTTTGAACCCATATTGGGACTAGTTTAAACACATTTGACATTTATTCTTGAATATTTAAAGGACGAATGTGTTTTGTCCACTCAACACCGTTTGGTCAATTATTTAAATTCTCCTTCCGGAAAACAACACAAATTGCCATTTTGTGCTTTTAATGGAGGAAGAGATGTTTGGGTAGACATGTATGCATATTTACCTATTATTAGATGAATGCTAAATATTTAGTGATAACACGTGTGTGTATATTATGTAGCGGAAATAAACTTATAGGTGTTCAAATTTTGCAAAAATATCTTGGTGCCACTCCAGAAGAAACGTTGCACGTAGGAGATCAGGTGAATAATTTAATGATCTGGAGGCCAACGCGTGTTAAAGTATCATTGTTAACTATTTTATCTGGTCTTAGTTCCTATCTACAGGAAATGACTTTGCGACTCGGCGCCAATGTTGTACATTATGGATTATCAACCCCGAAGAAACTCAAAGCGTGTTAGAAGAATTAGTCGAATTATTAAAACTAAAAATTTAATTGTTGACCTAATTTGAATTCGTCGCTTTATATTAGCATCAAAGTAATTTTTGGATTTTTTTTTATATTAAGATAATATTGTGTATAAAAGTGCTTATTATGTCACATGTCATTGTTTTGGTAAGAAGCTTTGAAGAACAATAGTGAAGTTATTTAATTTTCTTTCCACATTTAATATACAACTGATTACTAGGTCAGCGATTTTGGTGTCTTTCCTTTAACAAAGTAAAAATGTTAAACACTATGTTACTTCCAAAATTAAGCAAACTTTCTAGGATTATTATTGCCTTTCTTTAAATAGTTATTGTATGTCAGCTCTTCCTCTAACAATGGCCTCTGCGTAACTAGGTAATTGTTCATCATTCTGATTGTCCGATTCAAGCATGCTATCCGTCCCAAGCATACTGTCATCTTCTAATTCTCTTTCATTTCCCACTTTACTATCTCTTCTAAGCCAATATATAGTTATTATACTGAGAATGAATACTAATCCTATTGAACCCAATATAACCGCCACTAGTATTATTATTTGTGGTGTACCGTCTGCATTCGGAAGTTGCATAGAATTATCCAAAGAAACTGTCGTTGTCGCCGTCTGTATATAAGTGACAGGCGAAGTATAGGTAGTTGGATAAATAACTATACTATACTGTGTAACTTCCGATGAATCTATTGTATCTGTTTCCGACGAATCTATTGTAACTGTTCCCGGCGAATCTATCGTAACTGTTTCCGGTATACCTGTTGCATCTGCTTCCAACGTATGTACTGTCATTGTTTCCGATATATCCGTTACACTTGTCCTCGATAAATCGGACGTTGTGACTGTAAATTTGTCAACGCCGGGTCTAGTCGTTCCAGAAGTTGGCGTTTCTGATTCTCGCATTTTCACCTTTCGATTTGTATTTCAACAAAGGTAAGATGTATAAAAAATTCTGATGTGGAGCGTCGCAAAGATGCACTTAAGGGAAGAGAAGAAAACCGAACTCCAGTACGAACATTATAGAAGCAATTTGTGTTAATTTAAAATGAACGTTTCACCCTCTACATCATTTAAGCATATCACAGAAAGAAATTATTTTCTATATGCAAGATCAACTCTCGGTAATTAATTACCATTGGCGTGACGTTTTTTATATCTAATATAGAAAATTAGCTTGTTTCATAAATTTAAGTCAAACAATATAGGATTTCTATATCCGTACCTTTGTCAACATGCAAGTTCTTGATGTACAATAAATTTTGCTATTCTTGATTCTAACTTTTTTCTTATTAAATATTTATTTCAAATTACGGTATTTTTTTTTTTATTGCGGTAATTCTTCTTAAAACATAGTTCATATAAAAAACATCTTAAATTTATTATTACATATTTATATTTTGAAAAAAAGCATATACATAATTTACATACATATACTGTATACGTATTTTAAATAAATAAATATCAAATTAAATAAAAATTAAAATTATATATCAATTATACAGTATCTTTTTATAATTCAATAATTAATTAATTAAATTATATAAAACTTTATAAATAAGTTCTTTAATATCTTATCAATAAGTTTG